TCCGGCCCGACGCTCTCGCGCAGCCGGTCGAGCGCCGGGGAGATCTCGCCAAACACAGTCGGACCAACCAACCGATCGGGCACCCTCTTCCAAAAGAGCCGCCGTCGCTCAACCCTTGCCTCCTCGGCGGCCGCAGCTTGCGCCGCCGCCGCCTCCGCCGCCGCCGCCGCCGCCTCGCGCTCCCTCTTCGCCTTGGCCGACTCGCCCGGCGGCTTTGGCGCGCCACGAGGTGGCGGCGGAGGCGCTGGCGGTGCGCTTCGTGGGTTCGGCGCACCCGGCAGCATCGGCGGCGGAGGAGGAGGCGTAGGCGGTGCCCCTGGCGGCGGCGGCGGCGGCGGCACGCCGGGTGGTGGCACTGGAGGTGGCGGCGGCGGAGGCGCCCCCCCTGGCGGCGGCGGCGGCGGTGGTGGCGCCCCTGGCAGCGGCGGCGGCGGCGGCGGCGGAGGCGCACCCCCTGGCAGCGGCGGTGGCGGCGGCGGCGGAGGCGCACCCCCTGGCAGCGGCGGCGGCGGCGGTGGCGCCCCTGGCAGCGGCGGCGGCGGCGGCTGCTGCGCGATCTGCAGCTTTTGTTTTCCACCGGCGTTCGCGAGTGGAGCGGGTGTGGAGGACGGCTTGGGCGGCGGTGGCGCTTCGGCGGAGAGGCCAAGGAGGGCACAGGAGGCTGCCTCGAGGCACGAGAGCGCCTGGTGTCGCGTCAGCATCCACTGCGGATGACGCGACACCAGCTGCTGCGCTGCGATGCTGAGCAGCCCCAGCCCGCCACGCTTGCGCGCGAACTCGACGCCCCACTCCGTGGCGCCTATTGTAGGTGGGGAGCGGAGAGTGGACGTCGCCGGGTGTGGAGCCTTGCAGCACCTCGCGGATGGCAGTCGCCCTCGCGCAGCATCTGAACGCGGAGCAGCAAGCACAGCGACAGCCGCAGCCCTTCTCCCCGAAGAGCCTCGCCCGGGTGTGGCGCCGCCTCCGCCGCCTCCGCCGCCTCCTCTGACGCAGCAGAGAGCAGTCCGGCGGCCGCCTCCGGCGTCAGCTGCTCGTGCCCGCCCCACACCCACAGCACCTCACCCAGCAGAGATTGCGGAACCTCCTTCGCCAGCGCCGCCGCGCGTGCCGCGGGAAGTCCCTCGCCGGCCCAGAGCGCCTCGAGCAAACCCGTGTCGGCGTCGGTCGTTGGAGGCGCCGACGGCAGCGGCTCGAGCTCGGACCGTCCATGCACCTCCTCGGCGGACTCCTCCCGCTCCGCCTCGATGTTGTTGGTGTCCAGCGAGATGTGCGCGAGGCCATCGTAGGAGAGGAGAGACGCGCCCACCTGAGTCGCGATCGACGCCTTGACAGCGGCCGAGAGAGCAGCTGGCACCTCGCGCTCCTGGATGTCGAAGGACGCCACAGGCTGCACGAAGGCCTGCATGTCGCTTCGGTGCATGCTCACGCGTGCGCGCTCGAGACCGCTCACACCCTCGCCAACCCAGCTCACAAATGCGCACTTGACCTGATTGGCCGCCGCAAACATGAAGCAGCCGTAAATGACGAGGTTGTCGTCGAGGCTGCCCAGTAGCTCTTCAAACCCACCCTCGCCCGTGGCGAGCAGCTGCAGCCGCTGCGAGTCGTCGGGGTCGTATCGTGCAGTCAGCCAATTGATTCGGCTCGTGCTGTGGACGAGCGCGAGTGGCGCCTCGAGTTCCTCGGTATTCAGGCCGCTCGTATGCCGCCTGGTGTGGTAGTCTTGCAGGACCGAGTCCGACATCGTCCCGAGATTTCGTGTCGCCATGGTGATCGGATCACAGACACACTCCCAACAACACAAACATACATAGACCTAGGTGCTTGCGCCGCCCCGCAGTGCCCGATACGAGCACCCGAAATTCTTTTCGCAGTGCAGGTCACGCCCGCAGGCGCATTTTGTATACCGAGGCGGTGCCCGGTGCCGAACCTGTCGGGCCTTAAGACAGCTTTGTAGATCGGTCTCGGGAACCGTCCCATACTACTCAAAAGTACTCGAGTACAATATACACACTACCACAAAGCACCACTAGCGATTTCGCGCGGAGGGCGTAGTGAAGCGCTGGGGCGCTCACTGTGTGTTATTCGGGTGGGGATCCATCAGTGGTAACCGGCTTTAGTCACAGGTCCAAGCTCAGACGCCACACCAACACCACAAACACGCTCACTTCGCCGCTGCTGTAGATTTGTCCCCACTCAAGGTTATGGGAGCGGCCATAACAGGTGTTATGGCTGTTATGGCTGGCTGCTCATAACACCTCATAACACCTCGTAACACCTCCATCGCTGTTATGGCTGTTATGCCCACCCTACCATAACACCTCATAACACCTCATAACACCTCATAGCACTCATAATACCTCCCACTGGTTGTTATGACAGCCAGCATTAACAACCTCATAACAGCGCTGTTATGACTCGGCCAAAACCTCATAACACCTCCCACTTTTTAGAAACCTCGAGACATGTAGTGGAAAAAGGAAAGAAAAAGGACGTGAGTTAAATTGCGGGAAAGACATACAAGTTAAAAACGGAGGGAAGCGTGCAGAGCTGCAGAGAGTACGAGTTAGAAACGGGAAGCAAATTGCGTGAGGGGGGGGGGGGGGGGCTGGTCTTGATTGAGCAATCTGAAGCCATCGCTCAGCCTCAGGAGGCAGGTATATGTTATTGAATTTAACTTGGGGGCAAAAGAAAAAATATTTGGGGATCGATGCCGAACCTACCTCGCGCGCGGCAGCGCGCGAAGCGGAAATTCCAGCGGCGAGCAGTCCGGCGTGGCCTCTCGGGCCATAACACCGTGGACCCGGGACGGCCCTCCCATAGCAGCCCATAACATGTTATGGGCTGCTATGCCCCGAGAGCCATAACACCATAACAATAACTGCGCCTGGGGACAAGTAGATGGGCCCCGGGGGCCCATACTACGTCGAAGTACGGACCCGATCTCGGCACTCACGGGCTGGCACGCGCCCGCGCGCGGCGCGGGCCGCACCGCCCATGCCCCCGGGTCACCGACCCCGCCTCTCGGCCCTCTCGGCCCTCAGGAGCGTGCGGGAGACCGGCGAGGGGCGCGCCGCGCGCCGCCTGCAGAGCCGCCAGAGGCATTGTCGCCTCCGCTGGCGGGGTTCCCGCGCGCCCGCCCGCGCCCGGACCCGCGCCCGCTGCGCCCGCGGGCTCCGGATGCGCCGCCCTCCTTCTCCTTCTTCTCGATGGCAGTCCGCGCGTGCTTGTCGACGGGTCGGCGGCTTGGTCGAGGGGAACGAAGGTCGCCGGCGGCCGCAACTCCGCCGCCGTCGCTCCGCCGGCTCTGATCGAGTATCGGGCGTTGAGGCGGCGGCGCAAAGCGGGTCTGACGCATCCATCGCCACGGTGGGAGCGGCCGGCTGAGCTAGCATGTTGTCCGTAGCTGTGGACGGGCACGTGGAACGTCAATTCATGTTCGAACGGCCTCCGGGATTCAAACAAAAAAAAGCCGGGGCCCTCTCGCAACCCCTCCGACCCCCCGGGACCCGTGGGCGTCGAAGAGGCGCTCTCGGGGGGCCGTTCTGAGTTCATACTACCTCGAAGTACAGTATACTGCGTCAAAGCACCGGCCCTGAGTCCGAAGATCCCTGCACCCTGGCTGGGCCAGGCAGGGAGGCAGCAGGGTGGTTTGTTGTGAATTGTGCATTTATCACCCGTGAGTGATGCTCTCTGGCTGGGTCCCTTCAGGGCTCTGGCCTCGAGGCTCTGGCGAGCTCGAGCGCTGCGGCGCCGCACGCGGCCGCGGTGCCGGCTGCGCGGCGCCGGCGTGTGCTGTGTGGAGCGTCTCACTCGGAGAGGGGAGAGCGCGAGGCGCGGTGCGACAGTGAAATGTGCGGAGCTCACGACTGCGAGCAGGGGCAGAAATTGCGAATCTGAAGAAGCCGAAAGAAGAAACGCGGCTAACGCCTAGCAGACCCACGGCGGAGGCGTACTCCGCTCTCCTAAAAACCAATGCCTAATCCGGAGTCTATATACACACGGGCCTCACGGGGATAGAGATGGGCGAAAAGAAGCGACGAGCGGGTCCCTCCCCGTCCGACCAAGCGCCAAGGCGCAAGGGCCAACCAAGCGGTCTTTACTAGCCTCTACTCGAAGTAGCGGGGGTCGTCCTCTCGACGCGGGCAAAGGGATTCATCGGGTGTCGCACTCTTGCCCTAGCTCTTGCCTAACCTCATAGGATTCCTATCGCGTTCGCGAGATCGCAGTCTAGCCAGACCTAGAGCCAGACGGGGCCCGCCCGAGCGCTGCTTTTTTTTGTATTTGTAATATTCTCCTCTTTTGACCACGGCGTTTTCAGCCAACGCGAGAATGACGGACCGGTCGACCGGCGCGGCGCCGGCGGGTTGCGATGAGCGCTCCTAGCACTCACTCGAACTCACGCACTACCCCGGTGCCGCAGTGACGCCCTGCAGGTCACCCCAGAGTGTCTCAAATAGGGACGATGAGATCTGGCCGACTAGTGCTAGTCCCCAGACGACCCCCCCCCCCCCCCCAAGCTTCCACCGCACAAAGACCGCTTGCTTGGCCTTTGCGCTTTGGGCCTTGGCCCTTGGGCCTTGGTTGGCGCTTGGTCGGACGGGGAGGGACCGGCTCGTGGGCTTCTTTTCGCCCATCTCTATCCCCGTGAGGCCCGTGTATATATAGACTCCGGATTAGGCATTGGTTTTTAGGAGAGCGGAGTACGCCTCCGCCGTGGGTCTGCTAGGCGTTAGCCGCGTTTCTTCTTTCGGCTTCTTCAGATTCGCAATTTCTGCCCCTGCTCGCAGTCGTGAGCTCCGCACATTTCACTGTCGCACCGCGCCTCGCGCTCTCCCCTCTCCGAGTGAGACGCTCCACACAGCACACGCCGGCGCCGCGCAGCCGGCACCGCGGCCGCGTGCGGCGCCGCAGCGCTCGAGCTCGCCAGAGCACACGGCGCGGCGGCGCCCACCCTCTGCTGCCCGAATCTGGCGAGCTGTGCAGCTCTGCCCCGCGCGCCTGAGGGCCAGGCTCCCGGCCGCTGCGCGCGCTGTTGCTCTCCCAGAGCGCCCCTTAAGGTCCAGCGGGACTCGCCGCCAACCTCCTCTCTGCGCCCCGCGCCCCGCAGACAATGCTGTCCCTCTCCGCGGCTCCCCTGTCCTTCTCCGGCGCGCCGGTGCTGCGGCCGACCCGCATGGGGCCCAGCCCGACCATGGCGGTCGAGGACCTGGTTGGCGGCATCAACGACCCGATCTTCGGTGGCACACCCGAGGGCAAGGTGTGGGACCCGCTTGGCCTTGGCGCGGATGAGGCGTCGCTGTACCGCCGCCGCTGCGTCGAGATCAAGCACGGCCGCGTGTGCATGGTCGCCTTCCTTGGCATGACTGTTGGGCCCAACGAGGCGCGCGCCGCCCTGCTTCCGCTGCCACTCTTTTGCGCGCGCGTGCGTCGGCCGCAACACCGCCCGTCCCTGCAGCCTGACGCCGCCTCCCCGCCGCCGCTCGCAGCTCTTCCAGCCTACGCACCAGCTGCTGTCCCCGTCGCTCGGCCTCCACTTCGACGACATCCCGGGCGGCATCGCCGCGATTGACTCGGTTCCGGCTGCGGGCTGGCTCCAAATCATTGCGCTCGTCGGCGTGCACGAGCTCACGATTGCCAAGCAAGACTACACCAAGGAGCCCGGCGAGATCCCAACCTTCCTCGGCTTCAAGTCGGAGGACCCGGAGGTGTTTCGCAACAAGCAGCTGAAGGAGCTCAAGAACGGCCGCCTCGCGATGATCGCCGTGCTCGGCGAGCTCATGGCGCAGAAGGTGCCTGTCGCACACAGACATGCGCAGACACGCGCACACGCACGCAGACACGCACGCAGACACACACGCACAACGCACGCACGCACACTGCTCACCCGTGTGCAAGGGCCTTGCTCTTTCCATACCGTGGGACCCTACCTAGGAGACACGGAGATGCGAAGTGGCCCCCTTTTTCCCCACGCGGCTGTTCGACGACGTTTATCCCGACACTTCATAGGTGTCCGGCATGGGCACCTACGAGCAGCTCGGCCTTATCGTCAAGGACGGCGCCGCCCTCGCGGGCGTTGAGCTGCCTTTCTAGAGCTGTACGTGTTCTCTCTCTCGCTGCTGCGCCAAATCTAGCATGGTCTCTGATCGAGTGGTCTGCCCCCGCCTGCCCCCAGCGCGGCGCAGCGCGCGCCGAGCTTCGTGTAAGCCCCTGTCCCTCTATCTTCTTTCGTGAAAACAATTAAGGGATGGGGGGACGGCCAGGCCGAAGAGCTGGGAAGATTCTGTCTCAATCGTGTTGTGCGACCCGCAGTGCCCCTTCGTTCTCGTTGACGTTCATTCATGTTCGATGCGTTGACGTTGTAAATCGTCTCTCTCATTATGCGTTCACGGATCACGCTTCACGGCGGTCGGCGCGGCGATGGTTGTGCCCTTTGCCGAAGGGCTGTGCATCTTCACCTTTCGCGTGTTTTTCTCTCGCGTTCAGAGGGACAACACGCTTTCGCCGGTGGAACGGGATCGGACAGGGACACCTGTCACAGCTCACACCTCTCTGTGCTCTGTCTGTATGCTAATAAATAAAGAAAACGGTCAAACTCTGAGACGAGATGGGATTTAGGGACGTGTGTCCCCCTGTCTGTATGCTGTGCGTTTTAAGCTGTGTGTTTTGTATGTGTATCCTCTGACGATGCGGCATGCCGCGAGGGCGTGCGCGCGAGTTGGAGCTTTGAGGCCAGTTGCGCGCGCTGGCGCCGTGGGCGTGGCGAGGACGGCGCAGCGGTCCACACACCGCGCGCAGGCGGCCGGCCGGCCCCGGCCGCCGCAGGGCGCGCCACGGCCAGGCCGCAGCGCCGCCCAGCAGGCCCCTCTAACTAACTACCAAGAGACCCGAGCGGCACAAACACCACCCAATACACACTGACGTAGACGCTAGAGCGATGCAGATTGACCTCCGGGTGTATATAGGTCTACCCCTACTTGAGCACGCGGTCGAGTGCCTCAAACGCCTTGCGGTACGCCTGCAGCTCGAGCAACATGTCGCCCGAGAGCTTGCTGCGACAGATGGCGTCGTTCTGCTCGCGGTAGGCCGCCTTGGCCGCCTTGCGGAATTGGATCGCGTCGTGCGCGTCGGCGTGCGCTGGCTTGCTGCGCGCCACGCGCTTGCTGGACGGCGCGTCGTAATCCACGTACGAGTCCACCGCACGTGGGCGCGTCGTGCGCCGGCGCACGCGTCCGTCTGCGCGCTGCGCCGCGGGAAGCTCCGCGCCGCTGCCGTCCTGGTCGCGCACGAGCAGCTCGTACTCCTCCGGCACGAGCCGCAGCCACTCGTCGTCGCCGTCGTCGTACGTGATGTGGTGCAGTGACACTTCGTAGTCGTCGACGATGCCATCGTACCAGCGGCGGTCCTGCGCCCAGAAAATGCTGATGCGCCGGCCGACGATCTCCTCGCCGGGGCTCGGAGTGAGGGACGACGAGGACGAGGCGCCACCAGCGGACGAGCCGGCCGGTGCAGCGGCAGAGGAGGAGCCCACGTTGCGTGGCGCTGCCGGCCGCGGGTTGGGACGGGGCGCGGGATGCTCCGGCGCGGGCGTGGTCGCGCACCACAGGGCGAGGCCCGTGCGAATCGCGCTGACGAGGCTTCCCAGCGTGAGGTTGGTCGTGGCCTCACCGCCGTCGCGCCGCAGCACGCGCGTCTTGGACGGGTCGAGTTCGAAGAACTCGGGCGAGAGGTGCACCAGCGCGAGCACGCCCGCGCCAACCTTTGGCCACAGGTGCGACGCCTTTGGCTTCCACTTCTTGGCGTTCGCGTACTGCAGCTCGGGCGGGAGCGGGGCGGCCGCCGCCTCGTCGCAGCCCGCCGCCCAGTACTCCTTCAGCAGCCCGTACTTGGCGTAGTTCATCTCGCCCTGCCCGCCGTGGATGGCCAGCTTGAGGAAAGGATCGAACTTGGAGGTCGCCTCCTCGAAGCAGCCGCCGTGCCACATGGCACTCGCCTCGTCGTTGACGACCTTGCGCCCGTGCAAGACGAAGAAGGCGCCGTCGCGCAGCTGCTTGTGCAGCCACAGCCGCGGGGCCGTCGTCGAGCCGCGCTGGCGGCGC